AATATTTGAGAAGTATAGAAGTAGTGATCATAACCCTTCATCTAATCAAGATTTGCGACTTTGATTGGAAAACACTGGATAATTTCATGCATGGTATGTGGAAGATAGAACGATAGTTTAGTAACTTTCACAAATAGGCGGCAAAACAAGTGCATATGTTAACTGGTGTAATTCAAATATGAACTATATGTTCATACGTGAACCCGTGAAATTCACATATGAACTGTTTAACTGATTCACATATGAACTATGAGTTTAGATATACACATATGGGTTCACATATACACTTGTTTGTCGTCTATTTGTATAAGTTACAGAACTATCCCTCTATTTTTTTTCCTTTGACTAGTCAAAGCCGCAATCACCAATCTTGACCATATAAAGAACTAAGATCTTCTTTACTTTTCAAATAATTACCACTTCTCAAATGAACCTCTCCCTATATATATCTATATAGGGTTGGATTCACGTGAGACCAAGGGTTTTTCGTGAGATCCGTAAGACCAATTTATGTTCATTGATCAACTTTATAAACATATGATCTAATGGTCTAAAGTTGCACGGTGACAATTTTGTAATTATTGAGAAGTCTCGTGACGTTTATAAATGTTTAGATCTGACGATTGTAGATCTAAACCAAGGGTTGAGAATTGGTCTTACGGGTCTCATAAAAAACTATTGGTCTCACATGATCCCAATTCTATATATATATACACATATATAATCAATATCAGTTAGATTTTACCCGTCATTAACGGGATTTTTTAGTGGCCGTTAGAACCAGATTCAAATATTTTTGAAAACCACAATGACCATCTTGTAATTTCAGATGTTATTTTAACAAAAACATAGAGACCAAATTTATAGTTTAGTCTAAAACTAATTATACAATCATGACAAAAAAAACTATAATACCAATGGGCTGGTAAATTGGTGTTTCAAATTGGTGTCACAAATAAATAAACCCAAAATATAAACAATTGTACTAATAATTAATGAATGTTTTGTCATTGCTCATGGACTTGGTTAATCTCAGTCTTTGAGTGATCCAGAAAATACCTCTTCATATTAATGTCCTTGAAGACAGGTTCTGTGTAGAACCGATTAAACTTGCCGGTAATCATCTTTTGCTCAAATATAAAAGTAAATTTCTCTTCAAGACTTCAACTAATATCTCTCACTTTTTATCAGATAAAATATAACATCTTTTGTAACTCTTTAAACATTTATTTACATTACTAATTATTATTATTTTCATTGAAAATGGTTAACCATTTCGGATGATGGGAGTATAACAAGATATGTACATGCGTACTCAGGAACAAAATTTTGTATTGTTTTACAGAACTGAAACAAAAAACTGTTATAACGATGAATATTTTAGTAAAAATATCATGCATTTGTCATTTGTACTGTTATCCCATGAATTGTACTTTAAAAGAGAATTGATCTAATACTTCTTATTAATTTTAATTCAAAGGTTCTTACTTTTCTTGCCGTAACTCTGATTCTTACCAAAAAAAGAAAGACATAAAACATTGAGGTCCATGGAAGTGCAAGTGCAATCGCTTTTTTTCTTTTCTTTTTAATTTAAAAGAAATTGTGTAAAATTCGTTAAAAACATCTTTAGAAAGTGGGTTCACTTTTGCTTTGTAGTCTTGTATAGTATATTGTTCAAAAAGACTTGAAAAAAACAAAAGGCAAAAAAGTTACAAGATGCAATCGACGGTTATGGAATGAAGGTTGGATTTTCATAATGATTAAGATTTATGTAAGAATAAAATATTTATATATCTTTATTTATCTATTTTTTTATTATTATGAACGAAACTTTAATAAATTCATGCAGATGAAAGTGATTAAATGTATGTAAATATGACTTAAAAGTGAAAATAAAGATAAATGAATGTAGTTGAATTTACTGAAAGCAAGGTTTTAAAGTGGGATCAAGCCGTAAGCCTTACTAGTTATGGCAAGACAAAGTGTTCTCAAAGCGTACCCTAAGGCGACATATGTATATATATGTATGTATGTATATATATATATGTATGTATATATATATATATATATATGTATATATATATATATATATATGTATGTATGTATATATATATGTATGTATGTATGAATACTTGTGTGTGTTAGTGTTTTGAATGACCTATTATAAGAATTTAACTTCATATAAAGTTACAAAACTAAATGGGTACACCTCGAAATTACAGGTTTTGTTTGATGACTGATGCATAAGGGAATATTCACAGATGAGCATATTAAGTCTCTAGGTTTTCGGTTTTCCTCTTGTGGTCTTTGCTCCTCATAGTAAATCCAAATAGGAAAAAAAACTATTTATATCAAATATATTAAGCTTAATAGAAAATGATCCATCAAGAATGCAAAATCTGGATTAAATCTCTTGAGTCTCTACTAACTACTTTTCTTCAATCTTCAAATAATTCATGTTCGACTATCCTTTTATGTTTCTCTGAGTCTTGAGTATCGTACATAATTATCATTTACCTCCGAGTTATATGTTTAAAAAAGTAGGAAAAAAACCTCTAATGTGTCATAACGCACCATAACGCGTTACAATGGAAGTCAAAACTCAGAGTGGAGCAATAGGAGTTAACATGGCGGCAAAGTCAAGCCTCAGTGTCATAACAAGTTATTTAGAACCATGACTGAAAGTAGTTAAGAAAATTAAGCTAGATTAAAAGTCAACTCATCCAAAGGCTAAGAAATGTCCTTAATTACCACTATCATCGTAACTGTTATTCTCACATGATACCTCGTTTATGTATGTAT